TCAGCTTCTGCACTTGATCTGGCGACCACATCTTGTTTCTTACTTCTCCATGTCACCAAGTTACCACAAAGAAACATGCAATAACCAGTGGTAGAACGACGGTCAGTCACGGATCCAGCATAATCAGCATCTGTGTAGACTTCTAAAGATAGATTGACATCACGTCGGAATAACAACCCTTTACCAGTAGTACCTTTCAGATACTGAAGAATTCTCTCTACTGCCTGCATATGTTTCTCCTTTGGATCGTGCATAAACTGACTGACAACACTAACAGCATAAGCTAAGTCTGGTCTAGTATGGGCCAAATATATCAATTTCCCAACTAGCCGTTGATATTGTCCTTTATCAACTGGAGGACTCTCCTCTTCATAATCCATCTTGTGATTCTGCTCAATAGGAGTATTAGAGGGTTTACACCCGAGCTTTCCTGCTTCTTTGAGAAGATCAAGAACATATTTCCTCTGGCTGATAAAGATTCCTTTGCTCGAATGAGCTACTTCTATCCCTAGGAAATATCTCAGTTTCCCAAGGTCTTTGACTTCAAACTCAGAGGCAAGCCGTGTTTGCAGAATCTGTCTCTCCACAAAATTATCACATGTGATAATAATATCATCAACATATACAAGGAGCACAGTAAGCTTCCCATTTTGGGAGTGCTTGAAAAAAAGAGTGTGATCTCCTTGACTTTGTTTATATCCTAAGGTCATCATAACCTTAGTAAACTTTCCAAACCAGGCACGAGGTGACTGCTTCAATCCATACAAGGCCTTTTTTAATTTACAAACTTTATTTTCTCCCTTCACAGAATCAAAACCAGGCGGAATTTCCATGTAGACTTCTTCTTCTAACTCACCATTGAGGAAAGCATTCTTCACATCAAATTGGTTTATATCCCAATTGTAATGGGCAGCAAGGGATAACAAAACTCTCACCGTATTCATCTTTGCAACTGGAGCAAATGTTTCTTCATAATCAATGCCATAGGTTTGAGAGTAACCTTTGGCAACTAATCGAGCTTTGTATCTCTCAAGAGTTCCTTCAGAATTATATTTCAGGGCATAAACCCATCTGCACCCTACTGCTTTCTTTCCAGTAGGTCTATCAATAACCTCCCATGTTTTATTTTTCTCCAATGCATTCATCTCCTCTTGCATGGCTTGAGCCCAATTCCTATCTTTCAAGGCTTCATGTACTGATTTTGGGATTGCAATAGAGTCTAGTGCTGAAACAAAGCTTTTGTGCTGCACAGAAAGATTAGCAGAGGAAACAAACTGGGAGATAGGGTATTGAGTACAAGAGGGACAAGAGGGGCAAGATTTCTTGGGACAAGATCTTTTTCCTTTTCTAAGAGAAATGGGTAAATCATCAGAATCATTAGTAATGGGTAAGTCATCAGAAGTATTAACATCATGATCGGAAGTATGAGATTCAGGACTTACCAGTGGTTCAGACGATTGAGGTTGCTGCTGAGACAATGTGGGCTGTTTCCTTCTTTCAGGTGTCATAATCTTTCGTATCTCTGGTGTACTTGATGTATCAATCACAGGAGAATCAGTCACAGGAGGATTACTCACAAGAGGATCAAACACAGGAGGAACAAACAAAGGAGAAACAGACACAGGAGGAACAGGACCAGGTGGAGGATACACTGACATAGGTAAAGGAGTAGACACTGATGATTCAAACTCAAAGAAGGGAGGTGATGAGATTTCTGGTGAAGGATTCTCCCCCTGAAGATGAGGATCTTGGAAAAAGGACTCAGATTCCTGAAATGTAACATCCATAGAAACAAAAAATTTCCTACTACTAGGGTGATAGCACTTGTAGCCCTTCTTATCAGGAACATAACCAAGAAAAACACATTTAATAGCCCTAGGGTCCAACTTACTGCGATGATGTTTATGAACATGAACAAAAGCAACACACCCAAACACTCGTGGAGGAAGACTCATCATAGTTGGAATAGAAGGGAAAAAAGAAGTCATAGAGTGAATAGGACTTACATGGTCAAGTACCCGAGTGGGTAAACGGTTGATCAAGAATGCTGCAGTAAGAATAACATCTCCCCAATAGTATTTGGGTACATGTGTCTGAAACATTAATGCACGAGCCACTTCAAGAAGGTGACGATTTTTTCTTTCAGCAACCCCATTCTGTTGGGGGGTGTCAACACAAGTAAGTTCATGAATCATACCGTTATTTCTTATAAATTGGGAAAAGCTATGATTAACATATTCAGTACCATTATCTGTTCTCAGTCTCTTGAGTTTTTTACCAAACTGGGTCTCAATCATTTTATAAAATTGAAAGAACAGTTGTGGTACCTCAGACTTTTCACGCATTAAGTACACCCAAGTTACACGAGTGCAATCATCAATAAAAGAAACAAACCATCTATTTCCAGAACCATGAGGGACTTTAGAGGGACCCCAAACATCAGAATGAATAAGATCAAAAGGTTCAACACTCTTAGTAATACTAGAAGAAAAAGACACACGATGATGCTTAGCAAATTCACAAACATCACAATGAAAAGACTCAACAGATTTAGACAAAAACAATGACGGAAATAAAGATTTGAGTAAACTAAATGGAGGATGACCTAAGCGCTTATGATGAAGCCAAATCAAAGAATCAGCAGTTGATTGACCATGAGACATCAAGATGTGATTATTTACTTTATTTGCAGGAGATTGTGACACCAGATAGTACAGCCCACCTTGCTCTTTAGCACTACCAATCGTCTTCCCCGTGGCGAGATCCTGAAAAACACAATGGGTATAGGATAGAAGGTTACAGTACAATTCAAATCTTTTGTAATTTTATGAATAGAAAGAAGATTCGTGGAGAGTTTAGGAACATGAAGAACATCCTTAAGATGTAAGGACTGCTGTAAGTTTATGTCACCAGATCCCGCAACTGAAGTATGAGAGCCATCAGCTACGGCTATTGTATGAGTTCCAATGGTAGGATGATAAGAGGTAAAGGAGTCAGCACAACAAGCCATATGATCAGTAGCACCAGAATCAACAACCCAAGAATGTTTAAAATCATTACATGAAGAAAGGAAAGAATAAGTTTTGGAGCTCATACCAGTCATAGTCAAAGCACTAGTATCAGATGGCTTACTCATAGAATCAAGAATGGTTCGGAGCCGTTCCAACTCATCTGGACGAAATGCAGGTTGGGTCTTATTAGGTGTAGGAGTTATTTCAGAGGAAGTAAAATGCGCTTGACCACGCAACTTTGCCATCTTTTCTAAGACAGATTGCTTTCCATAAAGGCGAAAGCATAAATCCTTGATATGACCTGTTCTTTTACAATAAGAACACCATCGATCATCTCTCTTAGGTCTAGAAGAGGTACCATCATAAAATTTTGAAAAAGAACTCCTTTGAGAAGAGGCCATACTGCACAGAAAATGGTCAAAGAAAAGCTCCAAGAAGCCAAAAAATCACAAATAAATACCAAACGATTTCCAATCAAAGAGAGGAGCACAGATCCAGAAAGATGATGAAGGGACGATCAAGATCGCGGTGGCCCGATCCGGAAAAATGATCTCACGCGCCGCCACGCGCCGGTGAGATTGTTTGCGCGTGGGCTTCACTCGCGGTTGAAGGGGCGGCGCGTGTGGGCGCGTGCGGTGGTCGTCCGGTCTGAAATTTCTGGAGCAACGTCGTCCGGTGAGCGCGGTTCTTTCTGGGTCTGTTCGGAGTTGAAAAACCACCGGGAAAGGGTCCAATTGTGATGAACAGATGCTGTCTTGTGATGAAGAATAATGGAGACGATGAAACAGAGATCCAGTATAACAGAGATCTTCTCGGTCCAAGAGGTCCCCGAAAAAAAAATCCGGTGGCGGCTGATGGCAGCGAGAGACAAAAAGAATAAAAGGTTCTTGTTCTAAAGACAATAGGCGCGGAAGCAGAGCCCTCAGGATCGAGAGCTCTGATACCAACTTGAAATAAAAGGGTATTTGAAATATTATTGAATCGTATTTGAATCTGTACATAGGGGTCTCTATTTATAGAGACTTCTTGACCTAATTTTGACCTAATGGGCTTGGCCCAATATACAAGTAACGGACTAAATAAATACAAATAAATGACTACATAATTACTAATAAATGACTACATAATTACTATTTAATACAAATAAATGACTACATAATTACTAATAAATGACTACATAATTACTATTTACAACATTTTGGAACATTACTTCAAATAAAATATTAAATTTTGTCAAAGAAAACGAAAATAAATGGATTGGAAGCTAAGGGTTTATTTGGTTTAAGAAAATAAATTTTGTTTTCCGTTATAATTACGTAAAGACGATCTATTCTCACTTTGTAGTTATACATTGGGTTTAATGTTTGTCGTTTTAAAGAACATAGAGTTATATCATTTTAAGTGAGAGAAAAACACTAGTAACGAAAATCATGGAAGAGAAGGTGAGTAAGTTCTTTGTTAAATTTAAATTTTAAATAAAAAAATACTTAGTTGTGTATTTCTCTCTTTTTAAAATGATATAATTATATATCATTTAAAAGGATAAATATTTTTTTCTTATTATACAAAACAAATATACAAATCTCCGGAAAAAGGATGATAATTTTGTAACTATTAATAAAAAATTAAAATAAAAACAAAACATTTTGTTAAATAAGCATAAGAGAGTGTAATACAATGAAATATAGAGTATAATGCACGTGACTAAGCAACAATGATGATCCTTGCATTATGTCCCTTAATGAACTCCCAAAGCAGTGCCATAATGCACAAAACAGTTTTTAATTAAACAATACTTTTGATATCAGAAAATGCCTTCTACTTTGCCACCCCCCTCATAATTCTATCCTTCTCTTTATTCTGTTTAAAACCTTCTACCTACAAGGTGCTTTTTCTCCATGTTAAGATAAAACCCTCTCTATCTCTCTCTCCCTCTCTCTCCCCATATTGGACACACAGCCACCCACACAAACTTCGGAAAACACAATAATGTCTAACCATAATGAAATGCAGCACAACAACGTTGTTGAAGACCATGAGTCTCCGATATACCAAACCTACCCGTGTGGATACTTTGTCCAAAGCCCCTCCACTCTCTCCCATGCCAACAGCGCAGACATACGCAGCAACATCCAAAACGACACCGAATCCACTTTTCACTCCCCGATCCGATCCGAGACCCACCCATCAAACCCGACTCACGAATCCCGCTTTACTCTCTGCCGCTACTCCTCCTCCCGGGGCTCCAGCCACTCCTTCTTGCACCACAAGAAGGTCTCCTACGATGGCAGCCACGGCAATGACACCGAGAACGGTGATGTTAACTGTCTCGTTGTCATTGATAGTAATGGCTACGGCGACGGTGATGTGAATGACAATGAGGAGGAAGGGTTGTTTTATGAGTATTATTATGGGAAGAGAAAAGGAGGGTGGAAGAGGTACTTCTCTTACCGTAACTCCGATTCATGTGCTTGGATTTGGTTGCAAATGTGTTGGAGAGCTGTGCTGAGCTTGGGAATTGCATTGCTTGTGTTCTACATTGCTACAAAACCTCCACCTCCCATTGTCTCCGTTGAGGTACGGACTCAATAAAATTCTGTGATCTTATTATCTTTGTTTTGTTTCGATAGTTTTCTTAATATCCTTATGGTACTAAAGTCTCGATACCATTATTTTGTGAAGAGACAAGATAGACTAATATCGATATACGAATGATTAAGTTTTATATTTGATCTTAATTATTAATTTACTTAGATTAACTAATATATTAAATAAATAAGAGCCGTTAAGTTTGAAAATATAACTCATACTAATATAAAATAATATTTAAAGTTTAAAGAAAACATATATTTATTTATTAGTCACTAGTAATTATTGTGTAAAACTTGAAATGAGGTTATCTTTTTGACCTTTTTGCTTCAACTCCGTCATATGCTTCCATCTTTTTGACTGATTGGTTGCGTAGCGGCGTGCACATAAGGCAAATTGACGTTAAATAAATTTACAAATTTCTATCATTTATTTTTTTTATATTTTTGACTAATAGTATATCATTTATTAATTATATTAGCGTACACTATTATATTCACTAATTAATTTTCATGCACGAAAAATCCACTAACGCATATTATCTATTTTACGGAAATGGATTCTATGATGTGTTGTTTAAAATGATCATATTATGTAAAAGGATCTTGATCATGAATGAATAAATCAATAGCGATAATTTTGTAATTTTTTTTCTCAATATTTTTTTACCATTGATTCATCCGGTTAGAATCCTACGACATGCATAACATAGTCATGTTGAGTAACATATAAAAAAATTCACATAGTCATGTTGAGTAACATATAAAAAAATTCACTCCCTTATCTTAATCTTAGCCAATAACCACAGAAAAACAACCAGATAATTAAAGTACTCTATTCACTTTTACGATAAACTTGCTGTCACCATTTTATGTATGTTGTTGCGTTATTAATTTGCAGATCACTCGGATTCTAGAATTTAAATTAGCGGAAGGGGTGGATAAAACTGGTGTTACAACAAAGATTCTGACCTGCAATTGTTCTATGAATTTAATCATAGAGAATAAATCCAGGTTCTTTGGTCTTCACATTCGTCCTCCCATGATGGACATGAAATTTTCCATCTTACCCTTTGCATTTTCAAATGTAAGTCCGTCAATTAGTTTGCAGGATTGTATATATATGTGATCTCTATATAAAACACAGCACATTTTCCAAGATCTATGAAAAAAAATTCTGACATGTTTAACTTCAATGAGAACTTTGTTAAGGTTAGTAATGATAGGTTAACATGGGTTTAAGCTGGCCTAGGTGTCATCTTATGGATTCTTTGAAAAAACAAATTGAGAAAATTAATCACAAGAGCATCCTAGGCTTGGGTGATGTTATAACCTCTCAACACTTTTTTATTGTTCTGGACCATGTAATGGCCCCTCTTTAGCTATGTGAAATGGGTCTTATTCACCTTGAAATAAAACTTTGCCTATAAATAAAGAGTTAAGTTTCATATGTATCTTTCTTGAAACCCTAGTCTCATATGTATCTTTCTTGAAACCCTAATCTCTGTAGCTATCGTGTCGTGGGCGCATACACCTCCTTCGCTCACAGCCCCCTATTTGTGCATCATGATCTGCTAATGTACACAGTTATTTTCTCCATAAATATTGCCAGCTCAAACAATAAAAACCCTAATCCGTTAGGATCAAATATTTATAATAACATATATAGCTTTCCTTGAACTTATTTTGCTTAAATTTATGTAAATGTAGTATATCTTTCTTCTTTTTTTTTTTTGAACAATAATGTAGTATATCTTTCACCCAAGTTAAATATCGCAGGGGCCTGAGATCTATGCTGAGAGTGGCTTAACAATCTTTACGTTACATTTGGCAACGAAGAACAAGCCCATGTATGGTGCAGGAAGAAGCATGCAGGACATGCTAGATTCCGGAGGAGGATTGCCAATAGTGATACGAGTATTCCTAAGATCAAGTTACAAAGTCGTTCCGATCCTTATCAAGCCCAGGTTCCATCACCGAGTTGAATGTATGGTGCTTCTCCGGAAGGCTTACGATAAAAAACATCGAACCCAAGCATTTCATAGCACATGTAAAGTAACTACTTAGTTAAAGTGAGGATTCGATGTACTAAAAATTAATGTGTTATATACCAGGGTATGACACGAGATGTTGAACTCGCACAAATTAATTAAATCAGGTTTATAAAAATTTTATAGTACAGAGCAAACTTGAGTCGTTTCTCAAGAAAATTTCAAGAGTTTAAATAGCAATTTAAAAACAGAAAAATAAAATGGGGGGATTTTTGTTCAATTTAATTAAAATAACAGAATGTAAAATTGGATTTAAAACTTTATTAAGAACAACCAACAGAATTGAGATTCCATGGGCATCCGCCATTGGAAGAATAGATATCAAATCATGATTGACCCTAAGCGAATCGGAATCCCTGCATTCGCTAAAGAACCCTGTTGGGTGCGAACTTGTTGGTTGCTTATAATGTTATAATTAAAGACGTTCCTTTACTTTTAGTTTATCAAGAGAAAACAATTTCGTTCTCTTGATTTCAACCCAAGTGTGCAAGTGCACGCATCAAGTAATAAGTGGGACTATTAGTGCTCAGATTATCGTCCCACGAGGATAATACTCGAATTAATGCCTTAAACTTTTTTAAAAGAATGAAAATGAAAAGAAAAGTTAGTAAATGACCTGGTTGGTCAAACGTTCCCTACTGTCCTGTAACACCCCGTGTTAACCCGGTTTGTTATCATATCATCGTATTAAGCCACACTTAATTTAAAAATGCGGAATATCGATCTTTTTCTGTTCAATTATGATGTCATTATCATTAGCCAAGTTGAATTACTTAATTCATTTCATAAAACATCGCTGTATGAAAATTGCAAAAGACAGCTAACTAAAATACCTTATAACATAAATAATATAATTATGTCTCTAGTCACGGAACTACAACACGTAGACCGGACAACCCTGATAGTTTATACAACTCAAGCTACAAGTACTAACATCAATGTGGCATAGACAAACCTCATGCTCACCAATTAAGGCAACAAAGCCCACAAAAGAGTCTCAACTCAAATATCACTATAAAGACAGAAAACATAAACAGCATCCAATATCCAGTCATGTCAGCATACAACATATATAATCAGCTAAGCTCCGGCCTCCTGCCGCCAGAGGTCTCAACCCCCGCATTACCTGAACCTGAAATATGTGCCCCAAACGTGGGGTGAGATCTCTAAAAAGAAATCTCAGTAAGACAAAGGGTCCTCAAGGATCTTCCACCCCAAGCTCACTTACACGAGCAATATAAGTTCAAAAGCATTTAACAGTATAAGTTCCAAAACTATGTAGTGCAACAGATATTCATGCTATGTGTGTTTTAACTATTCTACTGGCCAAAGAAATGCAGGACGTACGTCTACAACCCCACAATAAGTACAAGGAAAACCGCTTGCACCTCACCCACAATCTCACCCTCTTGTATGTACCACATACTCAAGCTTACCGAATAGGTGGAACACCACATGCATATTATAAAGGCACTTGCATATAACAGCTCAACAACATTTAACAAATCAATATATCATGAAAACAACATCATGCATATAACCATACCTCCATGGGACATGGTGGAACCAACAATGGCTAAACCGAGGACACGAAAGCTTACCTTGCAAGCTAACAATCCAAGCCAAGAGTCCAACCAATCTCAAAGCTCAAACACAGTAGAATCACAATCTGTTTTGGACCAAAAATCATATCAAAATCTTACTCAACAAGTATAAGACACAAGGACAACGTCTTTCCTTTACATTTCATGTCTTAAGGCTACTCACAAAGCCACGAGCCCTGTAACACCCCATGTATACCCGGAATATTAACATTACATCGTATTAAGCGGTGCTTAATTAAAAATGCGGAATATTCTTTTTCTTTTCAATTATGACGTCATTATCAATTACCAACTTGATTACTGAATCAATTTCATAAAATATCGCCTGTATGTAAATTGCAACAAGACATCTACTGTAATACCTCAATATAAAAATAAAGTGTGTATCTACATCACGGTATTACATCTCGTAATCCGGACAATATCCTGATACATTATTACAACACCAAAAGACTCAAGACATAATCTAGACATAACAATACTATGTGTCATGGACAATCCCCATGCTCACCAAATAAACATAGTAAACAACAAGTCTCAACATAAAACTCCACAAACATAACTGAAGCTATGAGCATAAAAACAGCATGCAAATCCAGCATCCAATCATGGCAGCATAATATAACAGCAATCTAACTCAGCTCCGGCCTCCTGCCGCCTGAGGTCTCAACATTACCTGACCCTGAAATAAGCATTCCCCAAACGTGAGGTGAGATCTCTAAACAAGAAATCTCAGTAAGACAAGGGGTCCTCAAGGATCTTCCACCCCAAGCTCACTTACATGTGCAATATAAGTTCAAAAAGCATTTATATCATTATAAGTTCCAAAACTATGTAGTGCAACAGATATCTATGGCATGTGTGTAATCACTATCTACTGGCCAGAGAAATGTAGGAATACGTCTATTCCCTACATGTAGTACAAGGAACACCGCTTGCACCTCACCCACAGCCTCACCCTCTTGTATGTTCTACATACTCAGGCTTACCGTATAGGTGGAACACCTCCATGCATATCAATAAGGCACTAACATATAATAGCTCAACAGCATTTCCAAAACATCAAAAACATGTAACACATCATGCATATACCATACCCCCATGGGACATGGTGGAACCACAACATGGCTAAACCGAGGACACGAAAGCTTACCTTTAAGCTAGTTATCCAATGCCACAAGCTCAAAGTCCAATCACAGTAGATCACAATCTGATATGGACCAAAATATAAATCAATAAACATGTACCACATGCATACAAATTAAAGACAACGCCTCTTCATTACGTTTTATGTCTTAAAGCTTCTAACAAAGCCACAAGCCCTTAATCACATGATTCTGGCTTAGTCCATTAATTACAGAAGTTCAACTTCATCAATCTATGGTCTACAAACCCCCAATGGCCTACTGTACACACAGCACATCTACTGTTCTGCGAAATCCCAGAATATTCGGATATTCCTCGAGACCATATCCGGATATGCAATATCCGGATATCTCGCTGTCCATATCCGGATATGCAATATCCGGATATACAGATTCATATATCCGGATATCCAATATCCAGATATCCCAAAACCCCATATCCGGATATCATATCCGGATATCCAATATCTGGATATCTGTTCGAAAAATATACGGATATTTCACGACAGAATGCAATTTCTGCATTTTCGTGAAGATATCCCTTAAAGGTTCCCTTTTTACCGATTTTAAACACCTAATCATGCATTTCTAGGCGTGTTCAACATTACCCAACAACAAGTTATCATTTTTTAGTCATTAGATGCACCAAGGTACCATTTTTAAGCATTTAAACTCAAGTTAAAGGTTGGTACACATACCCCAGCTCTAAAACAGAAGGAAATGTTGCCCTTTGGAACTCACAATCAGTCTCAAGCTACTGTCACAAAAGAATGCACGAAAATGGTAAGAAAGGTTGACCCTTTAGCACAAAAGATCAACACTTGGACCACCAAAAACCAAGACAAGGCTTCTCTCAACCCAACCACCAAGGTCAGCTCCCAAACAGACAAGAACATTGGCTGGTCACTCAGAAAATGGTGTCTTCCAACCTCCCAAGGCTCACTCAAACAAGAACAAGTGTTTAGGAAGAAGGTTTTAAGAAGAAACAAGCATAAAATGATCACAAAGTCTCACAATGGAGAATATGGCAATGGAACAGTATAGGAGGTCAGCCACCAAGAGAACTCACGCTGGTTTTCTGTTATCTAGGGTTGTGAGCCCTTAAATGAGTATAAATAGTCCCAAGACACTTAAACGCGCAGTATTAGCGAAAATACCTATGCTTAGTATTTTAATCCCAAACTTTGGATTATGAAACTACATAATTTTCTAAGATTTATCATATTTTTATTATATTTTTCTGAGCACCTTTCTGGTACACGCTTTTCAAAGCCAGTACTGGTTTCTAGCACCAGTTCTCATTATTTGGACTTGAAACTCGTTTTACAAGTCCTACAAAATATTCTAGTAATTATCACGTACTTACATTAATTTTCCGGGATACTTTTTCGGTACGCATTTATACCGACTAGCAGAACCAGTATCTGAACTTTTCTTTCGAAAAACGACATTCAGCATTCTTAATCACTTACCATAATTATTAAAGTCCTTAATAATTATTAGGGATTATGGAATCATTTCCTAATTTTGCATAATTAATTAATTAAATACCTTAATTAACGGTGCGGGTTCTTACATTCACCCCACCTTTTTAGGATTTTGACCTCAAAATCAGAAACATACCTTGTCGAAACTCGAGGTACTGCCAGAGAAGCTTGTCCTCACGCTCCCAAGTACACTCCTCAGGAGTTCTTCCGGTCCACTGCACCTTGACCATAGGAATGATCTTGCACCTCAGCTGCTTCTCCCCACGATCGAGAATTCTGAGTGGTCCGACGGGAGTCTTCAGGTTCTCCCGAACCTCCACATCATCCGGTTGCACCACGTGCGACGGATATGCTATGTACTTCCGAAACTGAGACACGTGAAACATGTCGTGCATGTTAGCCAAGTTCGGAGGCAAGGCAAGCCAGTAGGCAACAGGTCCTACTCTACCAAGGATCTGGTATGGCCCAATATATCGCGGGCTCAGCTTCCTCACTCCGAGTGCCCAACCAACATCGGTGACAGGTGAAAGTCTCACAAACACGTGCTCACCCTCACTGAACTCCAGCGGACGATGCTTGCCATCATAGTAGCTCTTCTGGCGATTCTGCGCCTGCTTCAACTTTTCACGGATCATCTGGATCTGCAAGGTGGTATCTTGGACAAAGTCCAAGCCAAAAAGCTCCTTGTCCCCAACCTCAGACCAACAAGTAGGATTCCGGCACCTCCTACCATACAGTGCTTCGTAGGGCGCTATGCACAGGCTAGCATGAAAGCTGTTG